CACTATCACCCGTCTGCATTCAACTATTCGAGAAAAGAACGCAAAGGCAGTTTTCGTTTGAACTTTTTGCGCGATGTTACGGCAATGTCGTTAGGGTGACCATCTAATGGAATTCGACCCGGTCTCTATATCAAGCTTTTAAGTTGATTCGTTGATAGGTATTTTAGGGTTCCGTTACTCAAAAAGAATTATTAAAATTGCTATAACAAGTAGTTAGAATGAAAATTATAAAAAAGTTTTGAATAGTAATATCATGTTATAAATATGTATAATATGACTTTTAAAAGTAAAAGTTACGATACTATTTAAGAAAATAGGTGAATATATGTACTCAGTATCCTCAAAACACTTGGGCATGAATATAAAAAAGTATGGAAATTATTTATTATAAGAAAAGAAGTGTATGACTTGAAAAAAAAATGTAAGGAACCTTACCTGTATGAGTTCCACTCGCTCTAAGCCGTTTTTTTTAATCTAAAGCAACAATTTCGGACGATTCTCACAATGGATGAAGACATAAAAATTTTCGTTTCGATTCCAGTGCGGCATATCAAACGTGGACCACATACGTAATTTTTCTGGTCCAAATTGTCTTGTTGGGTCAGTTATTCGCCAAATCGGTGGTCGCTCACGCCTTTAACATCAACCTATTATTTCGGGTCGGACCGCCTCGGCTCGCTAAAGGAGCGTGATCAACAAATCATATGTCTTTTTGTGTCTTTTATCCGATCCCTGGCGGGAGTGTTTGTTTTCAAGCATATCTCGTGTGATTATTTAGGCGCGGAATAAGCTTGATTAGTTTGATTAATAGCACGAAACTAAAGGTTAGATGAAAACCTCTTTAGTTTTTAATAATTTGTCGGCCGCTCTTTAGATCTATACCGCTGTAAATATATGCACGCAAAACAGTTTTCTAAGAGCTCAAGAGCCTGTATTTAATTATTTGGTAAAACACTAAATAAGCTGGGTTAATTTTATATTTGTTACATATATGTAAGTATTGAAGTGTAGTAACAATATTATATTGTGTTACATGATTACTCAGAATCCTTTGTTATTTGGATTTTTGTTTATTTCATACGTTTTATGTGCGCAAGAAACTGTTAGGGTCTACAACACAGTATACTGTGTTGTAGACAATTGAGATAAATTTAATTTACCATGGAAAACCTACTTATATGTTTTTTGTAGATATATACATATCTAGGAATTTACACCTCTATAAATTCGTAGATCTACATTCTTAATAAATGTTTGATAAAATGTAAGGGCAATTTGTATTCTTAAATTTTCTTTACAGATTTTATAAGACCATCTCCAAACTTAATAGTCAATTATATCGATTTAATTCCCTAAAAAATATAAAAAGGAGGTCTGTTTGTTGAAATGCAATGTATAGTTTTTTTTTTAATCAATTATTGACACGGATCCCTAAAATAAGACCAGCCTAGTTCTTATGTATGCTTGAATAACATTACGTATTTACTTGCATTCCTGTCATTTGCCAAAATATGATCGATGTTATCTTTCATTAGCTTTGCGAAACGTTTCCGTGGAGCACACTTTGAGAAACTCTGAATGAACTGGGAACTCGGGATAAACAAATGATAAGAAAATACAAATCACGACAATTCCAAATTGCAATAATACTGCAACATAACATAGGTACTTAGGATAAACATTTTCATCTTAGATCATTCTGAATGTGTTTTAACGATCTGTTTTCGAGAAATAGCCGATAAAAGTCATCTTGGGCTATTATTAATCTGTGTTGGCGTTAAGTGGTCACTTTATATTCAAGTTGGACCAACATGTTGACGTCTCAATTTGCAGTTATGGTTGTGGGTGACCATCTTTTTTGATAAGTGGGACACGCTATCACATTTTCTGCGTCGACCACGAGGTATTTAGTTGAGATTTGTGTCTGCGATTAAGTTAATTGTTTATATAAATAATTCTGTTGTGTTTCATTAAAAACATCGTCAGCTCGAATATGTTTTTCTTAAGTTACCTTAATGTGTTTTGTAGTAACATTATTTCTTTTTTTATTGTTACAGGCTTAGAGTATTTGAGTGCAGCGAGAAGTCTTCACCCCGAATTACATGCTGGCAGTACTCTAGCCAGTCAAGACTTTCAACTTAGCTTAGAAGGTATTTTTAAATAAACGACTGCTCTTCCTCGATAACAAAAATCGTATATTTCGTGATTGTCTACAAATTATAGATTCGTAAGAAAGAAGTTACTGATTCCTTTGTTATAACTATGGGAGTACAATATCTAAGAACTTTCATACTTAATCGGTATATGCATGACTTTTAGGAGTTAGGTTTAGATGGTTACGGGATCTACTTGTGCTCTTGAATTTGTGTGCGGGTGGTGCACAGCATCTTGCAGTTACTGACTAGGTGTGAAACTTAGGAGTCGCCCAAATTTATCACCTAAATATTTAGAAATCACCTAAGATGAAAATGCATTTAAACAATGAATAAGAACCACTTACGGACATTAATAAGTGTTATGCGGTACCTTGAGCTAGGTATTTGCAGAATATGAAAGATCACAAATGTGTTAATGATAAAAGAAAAAAATATATATTTGGAATTTAACTAAACTACTTAGGCGATTCGTAAGATTAGGCGTTTTCTTGTTATGCTATGCCTTGTTCTATGTTAGTGAAAATGGAGGTAACGGTCATTACTACAGTCGAGGGATGTAATTATTTGATAAAATGGCATAACTAATAACAAACAAGCAGATATATGTAACCAATAGATAAGAATTTGAATGCAATAAAACTGTTAATAGCAAATAAATAGTATTGTTACTATTAACAGTTCTCACTTCATACAAATTATTTTTTGTTTGTGTTTGTTTAAGTTATTACTTTGCAGTGATTAAAACCCAATGCACAGCATGTTTTTTGCAATTGTGCCATACTGTACTCTTGATCTAATAAAATTACATCTTTACTATTTTTTTTTAATTTTGTATAAATAATAAAAAAATCAAAAGCACAATTTTTTTTTTGGGTAAACTTTACGCTTTATAGTCTTAAGAAGAAAACCCCTTCTCAATCATTTAAATTCATTCACTGTAACAGGAGTCTGAGATCAAAACACCCAGACACTCCACTAATGATAAGAAAATACAAATCACGACAATTCCAAATAGCAATAATACTGCAACATAAAGTAGGTACTTAGGATAAACATTTTCATCTTAGATCATTCTGAATGTGTTTTAACGATCTGTTTTCGAGAAATAGCCGATAAAAGTTTGATTGATTACTCTCCAATCCGCATTGGGCCAGCGTGGAGGGTCATGGCCCATCCTCCTTAACCATCCATAAGGAAGGCCTGAGCCCCTGTAGTGGGGACGTAAAAGGGCTGGTGATGTACTCTTGATTGGGTACACTACCGCCAGAGTATGCAGTGTTGTAACTAATCAAGAGTACAAAAAGGCACAATTGCAATGTCGATCGATCGCGATTGCGTTCGAGAGTTAGCATGCTGATGTCCTGCACGCGTAGCCTGACAAAGTCGAGAAACGCTTTGTCTACACTCATTTGTCAGTTTCTCGGGTCGAGAGTGAGATATCGTATGGGCGCACCCGAGAAAAGTGACATTTAGGTGTAGACAAAACGTTTTCGAGTTCGTCATTTAGGTGTAAACGTTCTCGAGTTGATGTCAACATTTATTATTGTCACACTGTAAATTCCAAATATTAACTACATTATTCTAATTAAGCGAAAAAAAAGAATTCAACAGCATATAATTGTTATTGATATTGTCGATATTATAAAATATATCATGAAATTATCACAGGATCAAGAATTGCCTCACCGACTCGCCTTAGGTTATCGGGCGGGGCGATAGGTGCATCCGCCAACCGCAAGAGGGCGGTATCCTGGAGCCCTTACTCAGCAGAGTCTTTAGATCTGGCGGCGGTCATAAGGGCGTCACCCGCCAGCTTAGCTGTGAGAGCACCCTCAGCTGCCTCTACTGGCAGCTATGGACATCTTAGTGCTGGTGAGAAAATTGTCTGTTACCTAGAGTAAACTAACAAGATTATTTAAAATCTTTATCTTATTGGTATATTTTACTATTACTATTCAATTAAAATAATCATGGTTTATATATCTTTCAATTGTGTATGATTATATATATTTTTAAGAAAACTTACAGCAGAATATTTCATAACAATAAATGCTGAAAGACATTAAAAAGTTTTTAAATAAGTACATTTTGATAATATCAAAAACGACAAAGATAGAAAAAGAAAATCAATTTAGGTTCGATACACTTAGCAATGTAAAAAAAAACAATAGATTTCTTAATGAAAAATGCTTAAAAACTCCACTTGGGCCCTGGCACCCTGAGATGGGACTCGAACCCATAACTTTCGCAATCAGGGTGACCGATCTAACCATTTAGCTACCCAAGACCTAACAGGCCTAACGAATCTTTTAAGCACTTGTTACTTTTTCATTACTACAGAGCGTATTCTCATCAATGTTCTGATAATCCACTCAAACAGCCGAAAAAAATGTTTTTACAAATATTTTAAACTTACGATAAAGATGATAATTTGTTCTTATATTAATTTTGGTCAATTTTGGATTCAGAATGCATTTTTCAGTATAGCACTGTGAATGCAAAATTAATCAAATATAAAAACAATAGTTTGTTATAATACATTTCAACTAGATGGCTGATGTACTGAATGAGTTTATGTCTACTCGCTGTCATCGTATTTATTACTATTATAAACGGTCTTTTTTTAAATTTTGATTTATTCAAAATGGTGGCGTCTTAGGATAAATATTAATCTGTTTTTTCGAGTTTCTATTTTATGGTGGCGAATATAGCTTTATAATAAATTTCTGGTATACAGGTGCGATATCACCAGCACTATCCCTTTCACATGCATCACTCGCGCAGCAGTTGCTAGCTCGAGGAGGTGTGGTGGGAGGAAGTGGTGTACTAGCTGGTGGAGTGTTGATGGACCCAGCACACCAACAAGCGGCGGCAGCGGCAGCACATCACGCGGCGCATGCGCATTTGGTTGCTGGAATTCATAGGTAGTGTGGAACTTAATAATTTGAGTAACTGTCGCTCAAGACAGTGCCTTATCTACCACATCAATTAAACAATAGTTAGCTGTTTATTAATATATCCGGAATTGTACAACTCTAATATATGGAATAAAATCATTAACTAGCTTCCACATACAGCAAGCTTCCATTAGAAGAAAAGTTACTAACATAAAATGCTTATATTATCAATATTACTTATTACTTAGGTAATGAGGTCGTTTTTAATCGCCTGATAAAAATTTATTCAACATTGACAATTTCAAAATATGAGTAACCCTTTGACATTTTATTAACATGAGCACTGGCTCTGGATATAAATAAAATTTTGCTTTAATTAGTTTTACAGTAAGGGGCATGAAAATGATTGTCATTAAACTTAGTCTTTTAAGTCTAGAATTCCCTATTCGGTGTTCCATTTGATAAAGATATATCAATAAGTATAATAATATTATTCTCAGATCTCATATATCATCTCCGACGCAGCTCATAATGGGCGCACCAGTAGATGTTAGGCCAGGGTTAGGACTTGACGGCACTCCACCTCAACATTTGCAGCAACCTCCACAGCAGCCTGAAATCACTAGCATTATGGAAGCTGATAGGTATGTACTCAGTTGCTTTCAGATTTCTCCTACAAAATGTTTGAGATCAATTTCACATCAACGAAGTCAGAGTAAATTCTCCTCAACATTTTAATACCCATACAGTTCAAATACATTGCGAATTCCAACCTTATTTCCAGTGCATCAAATATTACGCAGCGAAAATCGCCACCGAGTCTAATGCAGAGGGATAACCATCACAGTAACAAACCTATGTCTGCCGCTGCTGAAAGCACCGTACATGATGGTCTAGACTCCAAGGATGAGCCAGGAGATTTTATCGAAACCAACTGTCACTGGGTAATTTCTCTTTATGTGGTTGTGGTCCTATTAGTGAAGATAATTGTAAAGGAGACTAAAGGTTCCATGTAAATTAGAACTTGTATGTATGTTGAGTTTGGTTAGAAACTTATATGCGCGTTTTAGACTTTATATAATGCATCTCAGCAGTCTCAGCACTATCTTGTAACTGTGCGAAGTATTGGATTCATATTGCGATGGATTATTGTGGCGATGTTAGTGTAGTGCGATGGTTGTCTCTAATTTAAGTGACATCATATATTCGCACATAGACTTTCAAATCATTAAAGTAGTCATTAAAGTTCAAATTACTACCACACTGACTTTCTACACTAATTATGTACACAAACAAAACACGATTGAACTACATTTGGCAGGATAGTATAGCTTTTTTCCATCACCCTATTCTTTTCTATCGCTGAGAGCTGCCATTTGCTATTACGAGAAAGATCCGCTATCTTTCTTGCTCTACCAAATAGCGGTTCTGAAGGAAGATGGCATCGAAAAAAGGTGGTATCGAGCTGCCATATGTAATTTGGACGCTAGATGTTCTTCATACAAGTTGCAAAGCTATCGAGCTATTTTATTTGTAGTAGTCTTATAGAGAATAATGAAACTCAAAACGGTTTTCAGCCGAGGAAAGTTTAATTGCTAATTTGAGTTTGACCTTATGTTAGTATGGAAAACAAAAATGTATCGCGATCCAAGAGCAAGATAGCGCGATCTGTGTTTTCTAACTCCTACCAAGCCACAATGGAATTAGAATATCAGTATGTAAAAGGCACGTAGCACATTCAAGTTTTTTCTAGGTGGATTGTAAGCTGGAGTTTCCCACTCAAGATGACTTGGTGAAGCATATAAATACGGATCACATACATGCCAGCAAGAAAGCGTTCGTGTGCCGTTGGGTAGGCTGCTCTAGAGACGAAAAACCATTCAAAGCCCAGTATATGTTGGTGGTTCACATGAGAAGGCATACCGGAGAAAAGCCTCATAAGTGCACGGTAAGTATTATACCTAATGCCTACTAGATGGCATGAAAACCAATAATCATTATCAGCCTAATCATGTTCCAACTGATTTTGTACAGGCACTCCCTATAATTGGAACCACTGTAACCAGGGCCAACGTATTAACGTGCTTTCCTAAGATAATAAAATTTTGGTCATCCATCCTATGACCGGTCCTTGCGAAAGTTTATTTACGTCATCACTGCGTCATGCCCTGGAGGTCCTCATATATATGTTTATTTCTAATTACTACTTTTTACAGTTCGAAGGATGTTGTAAAGCGTACTCCAGATTGGAAAACTTGAAGACCCACTTGAGAAGTCATACCGGTGAAAAACCTTATACCTGCGAATACCCTGGGTGTGCTAAAGCTTTCTCCAATGCTAGTGATAGAGCCAAACACCAGAATAGAACACATAGCAATGAGGTAAGACTGGCAGGAATTGCAAATGCTTCTGGTTATATTAGTCTTGAGATGAGTTAATAATATACCATCTGTATATAATTAACTCATCTCAAGACATCAATATACCCGTCTATCAGTATACCCATCTACCCAACATAAGAGCTAAACATAAAAATGAATAGCAATTAGATAAGACGTGCAAGATTAACAAATGTTTGCCGTTACTCTAGCATTTAGATTTTATTTGATAATATATCTATATATACCTATCTTAAATGTCCACTACACACATCCACACCACAAGATTTGTCTTTACATAAATCTTTTTGCCATCTTCCATTCAGTAATCTTTTATTACGCGGGTTTTTATGGTTTGTGATATCACCATCTAACAGCACGGATTCTATTGATCGTGAAAGGTGTTTCTTAGTCTTAGCCTTCCAAAATTACTTCATCCTTCCACTTCCGCGTTGCACTAAGTTTTGTTATTCAACCTAATATCTTCTAATTCTCATTGATAATATTGTTCTATTATAATGTTTTCGTATTACCTTCTTTATGACGTAAACATAAATCATTAAATTATTTTTAAAAATAATTTATAATAAATTATTTTTAAAAATAATTTATAATAATTTATTTTTAAAAATAATTTAATAGATGTTGTATTTAATGATCCTCAGAAACCTTACGTCTGTAAAGCTCCTGGTTGCACAAAACGATATACGGACCCCTCGTCACTTCGGAAACATGTGAAGACCGTTCACGGGGCTGAATTCTATGCTAGTAAAAAACACAAAGGTAAGAATAGGATTCAAAAATTAATTCGTAATAGTAGATAAAATATTGGTACATACAAAGAGATTACGTTGCTTTTGCCTATGGTATTTCTGTCCTCATATTAGTCTAATGATAAAACCTCCTGTTTAAAGAATTAGTAAAATTCCTCATATTATCTTTTTTTTTAAAGTACGTTTTCAAGTCTAAAAAAGTTAATTTATGAATGATATAAATATTTTAGTGTTCTTTAGATTTTCTTTTTGTTTAGCGAATACTGTTTGTGCTTCTTTATTCTCTCAGACGAGCATACTAGTTCTATCAATGCACCACCCAAACTGTAAGACAGAATGAGCTGAAATTTGACACAGAAATAGAAATTTAGTTATGCGAAATTTCCTTTTATCATTAATCTATAAGAGGTAGATACTAGAACTTTTTTATGTCTGAATTTAAAGGGATATTGGCTACATTTTCTTAACCGTCTCCTCGATACTCTAGGTTGCAGTCGCGGTGATGACTCAGCGGAATCAGGTGGTGGCGGAGCAGGATCTTCACCGCGGTCCGAGGAAGGCGGAGTACCTATGGGAGTTAGAGGACACACGTCATCAGCCTCCGTTAAGAGCGAGAGTCCTGCTTCACCGCTGCCCCATGGTCTTCATACTCCTGCGCATCAGGTACGTAACTAATCTATACGAAGGTAATGGAGTCCAGACGCATACTAGCTAGTACAGCATTTTAGCAGCTACCCTTACCATGAAATAAGTAATTGACTCAACAGCTTTGATCGACGCTAAGTTGTAACAATGTAAATATGGGTCAGACAATCTAGAAATTTACTTTTTAATTACAGTCAATGACAAAGTGTATGCAGTTTCTGAATGTTTAGCAAAATTATTATATTTAATAATAATAAAAAATAAAAATGTTCTTTATTAACATTATTTCCATCATTTACAATCTTGAAATTATCCCAGTAAGTAGTATAAAATACTTGTATTGGGACCATTTCGCTCTAGCTTTGTGGCAAGTACATATTTTAATGTTAACAAAAACCAATATTAATGAATGAATGAGTTCGTGAGTGAGTATTGTGTTGTGAATGTGTGTATTGTGTGTTGTGAGTGTATTGTGTTATGTGTTGTGCCTGTGGGTGTGTGTTGTTATCTACATATATATTATATATTTGTATTTGTATGTATATTTATAGATACCTTTATCTTTATCTTATAAGAGTCTTGTAGGATAATGTTAAGATGCTTGAAGATGTGGCAATATTTGACTATACCACGTATGTATAAGTAAACTTGAGTTTTAATAGATTAAACGTTAATTACAGTTATCAGCTCAATGCGGAGGAGAATTGGACTTTGGCGGTTCTGGTCTTGGTGGATTCAGTGACGAGAATGGTGTTCCATATTTCAGGATAGATGGCGAGGTAGATACAGATACTTTCTTTTCTGTTTCACCTTTATTACTTTGAAATTTGGTTTAACCTCTATACTATGACAGCGCTATACTCAACATGGAATTTCAGGCTATTTTTACAGAATAGCAAAGACTATGTGCAAAAGTAAACATTTGCTAAAAAGTGTCTGCATTTTTGCTGCATTGGTCCTGACTGAGATATTAATTTTAAACAACCATATCACTTCTTACTTTAAGTAATACCGCTATTGCTTGTAAGTTTTTTGGCATGAGTCCTTTATTCTTGATAATGAGATCATTATAATGTATTCCGCATTCAGGAGGACTTCATTTATTCTTGAAACATCCTCTGCCAGTCAACTTTGGGATAACCTGGAAATAAATAACTAGTAAGATGAAATATCTTATGTAGGTGGAACAAGAGGTGGTTGGAGAAGTAGGACAATTGCCGCTGATGCTGCGAGCCATGGTGGCTATCGGAGAACCCCGGGCACATCACCATGCCCCACGCTTCCAGAACAACAAGATGGGGCTCGGCAGACTCATGCCTCCTGGACATGGTGCTGATATAGGAAGTGAGTTAACTTTTAATTGTGATCAAATTTTGCATGTCGACTGTAATAAGTAGTTGTACCTTCTTCGAATCCTAGCTGGAGTCCAGGTACTTCTCAAGAGTGTAATCCGCAGTGGGTTTAACCTGTCCTTTTCAGAACGGTTGGAGAACCCTGAATTAAGACTTTAGGTGCATTTCCTCTACGTTATCAATAAAAAAGTATTCCTACTTCAGATCAAAGAAATCAGAATCATGATGATATAAAGGAGCTCAAAATAAAAAAGAAATATTCAATTGCAGGTGGTATTCCAGGAAGAACGGAGTTAGGAAACACAAACGTAACGGTTGAACTCAAAACTGGCGTACCTAATACGAGGCGAGACTCGGGAATATCGTCTGGAAGCAGTTTATACAGTGCCAGGTAAAAAAAAAAAAAATTCAAAAATTGTCGTCGTGAAAAACACTGAAAAATCGTAAAAAAATAACATTTCATATTTTCTATAATATTTTTTATTTTTTTATTTTTTCATATCTTCTTAAGAGATTATATTAAAAGCAATTCTTAAATCCAAATGTTTAATATGAGCGTAAAAATATTCAATTATAAATAAGTGGTTAATTCAAGTTTTAATTATCAACAAAATTATCAATTATCATTCCTTATTATATATACCATTCATTCATTAGCGACGTTGATATGCCTGCTTCCAAAGCAAGTTTAGTCGTCCTGGTCACATAAAAACTATATAAAAATTGTTTTGTATTAAAATTATTTGACATGCGTTGCTGTTGTACTGTGTGTAAGAGAACATCTTCATGATACCTGAAATTTTTATCGGTCTCAGGTCATCAGATATATCACGAAAGAGCAGTCAAGCGTCAGTGGTGTCAGGGGCGGTGCCGGGTGCAGTGAGCGGGCCCCCACGACTGATCGCTCCTCATGTTGCCTACGACCAACTGTCACCTGACAGCAGTAGGAGGTAATATTTATCCTTTTTACTAGTAATGTGAATAAATAACTAAATACTATGAATATAAATTACCTTTACACTAATATAAACTATTTGATTTCATTCTTAGACGTTTAAAATCTTTACATGTATCTTGTTTATTAAGACTGAATCAAAATCTTAATGGATTCAATTAATGAGTAGTGATGAATAAAACTTCGCGTTTTTGTTTTGGTTCGTGCAATGGTAAAACTTAATTTCGCAACAACCAGTCAAAGGGTGGATTCTCTTTAATTCGGTACACACGTTAACCAATTGGTGCTGGTTGCTTATGCAGTCGCTAATACCCATCAACCCGCTTTTCTTAACTTAATTTCTTAACTTGTTAGAGAGAAAAAAAATAGGTTAGAGAAAATTATGAACAACATCATTTAATAAAAATTGGGGCAAACAAACCAGCAATTAAATCCAAGTTTTGCTATATTTGTCCTCAATAATAATGTAATAGTAAACTCACAGAATAGAATCAAAGACAGAACCCCATGTTAGTCAAATAGGAATCGGACAGTGTAATAGTGTTAAATGTACTTATAATTTAGTGATGATGATGTTCTTTTCAGACAGTTTCGTATTTATTTCAGATCTAGTCAAGTGTCGTGTGTTGGATATGCGCCAGCTCCACCCTCAGCTCTCGCAGCTGTACAAGCGGTCAGGACATCACAAGGCAATCAGGTTAATACTATTCGAATTTAAAATCAATCGATCTATACAATCAAATCTCTTTTGTCGAGTGGCTCGCTGGTTTCAAGGTGTTGCTATCTCTGAGTCCCGAGTTCGATTCTCGGTCGGGTCAATCTAGAAAATATCTTTTTATAGTGTCTCTAATCTGAGCATTGCAATATTTTCGCAGTTTCCAGTAATAAATTATTAATTATTAGACATCATCACATTCATTGCTAAGATTATAAGATCCTCGTATTATAGAGTATTGGAGATTAGTACAAACAGAAATAAATAAAAAAAAGATTTATAAAATCGTTGTTTCTTATCATTATAACTAGATAATTATAACACCCATAACCCACAGTTTTTTTACTTTATATTAAAAAAAATGTTAATATATAATAATACATTACTATTTTTGTCAGGTAATTTTTTTTGTCTTAATGACCAAAGCAGTAGGAAAATCTTGTACACCACTTAAAACATACCTCATACTTATTATTACAAATGTATTTATAAATAATCGAATTTTTCCTGCAGGCGGTTCTGCTACGTGGTGTTACTTGCTCAGAAGTGAGAGCAGAAGAGTTGGCGCTAGAACTAGACCCCAACATCCAGGTCAAAGAGGAAACCAGGAGGCTTTCAGAACAGTCGAACTTGAGCGACCAAACCCAGGCGTATCAACCTTATCCTTGTGGGGCTGATGATGCGGTAAGAATCCTATTACTAGAACTTTTAACACTTTGTACTAAATGATATTACTTGATATTAAATATGTTGCATCTAGCTTAGAAATTGCAAAGTCAACGTTATCTATATTATATATTGTGCCATTAAAAGCACAAACCTACGCAAGTCGTTCTTCCTATATAATTACCAAGGCTCTGCACTAGATGGCGATATCTAGTACAGATGCTAGGTATTATAATAGTATTTATTATAATAGTATTCCCATGAATTCGTCTATTTTTACTAGTATATCTAAATATAAAGCTGATTCTGAAGAAATTTATGTCACTTTATATTACTTTTTGTCAGTAATAATTTTCGTCTCCAGCAGGGTGATGTCTCATTTCCCTTCAAGACGGAAGATGATCACGATACGGTGACCTACAAGGAGTCTCGTTCCAACTCCACTAACACTGTTGTCACCACCGCCCAAGTCCACCATCCCAACCAAGAAGTAAACTTGGAACAGGTTAGTAAAAATATGTTTATTTCACAATAAAACTTCATACTTAACTACAACTTAAATAAAATTGCTAATATTATTTTATGAATTTATAGCTTTAGAAAATTATTCTGTCTAAATACTTTTCTTATTTGTATAACTTCTAAAAACTTTCCTTTCCACAGGTTGCAGAAGGTGAAATGGTGGAGAATAAGCTGGTAATACCAGACGAAATGATGCAATATCTTAACCAATCAATATTGGCAAACGAATCGGTAGCACCAGCTAACACCGACTCCACCAATGCACCTGAACCTGAAACAAACAAAGACAACAACGATGCTTCAACCAAAGAAAATGCATCAAGTGAAATAGTCAACAGCAACAATATTAGTGACAAAATAAGTGATGTAGCAACCAGTGACGATTCTCTACTCAAAAACTTAGGTGCCATAGGAAGTGATCTCAATATAAGTGATATTCCAGTTGATTTAAGATCGCTAGACGTTAGCATGTCTGGTAATAGTGGTTCTCTTCTAGCAACGAAATCACCAGATGATAAAAATCCTCTGCAAGAGCAAGTAATACATGAGGTCAGCACAGAAAAATGTGAACAAGATTTCACCAAGCCTCCAACATCTAATAACGCTAATAATAATCCTTTGCAGTCTTTGCAAAATATGGCTGGAAATCAGACAGAACAATCAAACCAGATCAGAGTTAATTCATTACCTCAGAAACAAAACATAATGAGTCCAAAGACTATGGTTATGAGTCCTCAAAATGTACTGAGTCCTCAGAATATAGCTCATAGCATGATGAGTCCACAAAGTCTCCCACACAGTACAATGAGCCCACAAAGTGTTATGAGCCCACATAATATGCCTCATAGTGTTATGAGTCCATCTAGTGTTTATAACGTTATGAGTCCCCAAAGTGCCATGAGCGTCATGTCGCCACAACATAATGCAATGTCTCCGCAGAGCATGCAAAGCCTCATGAGTCCTCAAATGTCCAATCAGATAATGATGAGTCCACGCCATAATAACATTGGAAGCCCAATGTCACAAAATATAGGTAATGCTATGGTTAATATGGCAAGTCCTGTGACACAAAATATTGCAAGTCCGATGAGTCATGGCATGCCGAGTCCTATGCATCCAGGCTTACAGAGTCCTATGTCCCAGGGGGTTGCGAGTCCAATGGTTCAAAACATTTCAAATATGCAAATGAACCCACCGGTACAAAACCAAATGAATTCAAATCAAAACATTATAAGTATGAACCAGCAACCACAAATGCAACCAGTTCCACAGAATTACATGAACAACCACCAGAACTGTAACGCTAAAATTGCCAATAGAAATAATGTTCCCAATCAATACCAAAACCATAATTATAATCAAGCACCTCCTTATCCGATGCAAAATCAACAAAATATAATTAATATAAGAAGTCAAAACATGCAACAATACCCTGTTATGCATCAGTATACACAAAATCAAATGCCTATGATAAATCAAATACCTCCCATCCAGCAAAATATTGCTTATAATAACCAGATGATGAATTACCAACAGGCAATGTATTCAAACCAAAGTAATCAGATGCATCCAATGCAGATGTCTAGATCTTCAATGATGAGTGTGGACAATAGTGGTAACATGAGTCGAGGTGCGATGAATAGTTATTGTGAGCCACAGAACGTTCAATATAACCAAAACATGCAATACCCTCAACCCCCACCTTATAATTCTGTAGTCAATAATTCAGCAAGTGTCATGGGTCCACCGCCGCCGAAAAATAATCATCAATATAACCAAGCTATGATGAATAACAACCAATATTATAATCATCAGAGGCCTTATAACCAGTGGGATTATCCGGGTAATCAATTTAATAAGCATAATATGCAAAAAGGCGTTCAAAATTCTGTAAACATGTCCACTAGTAGTCAAAAGCCTAACGGTGTGAGAGCTTCGATAAACGGCAATCAAATAGTAAAGAATATAGGTGAGCAAACTGACTGTAGCATGAACAGCATGCGTAGTCAAAATCAGCCAAGCGAGGTGCAAGTTTGGGATATTTCCCAGTCACAGATAGAAGCGACAAACGGCAGAAAGAAAAATCAGAACAGCATGCGTCAAGAAACATATCAGAGGACTTTGGAGTACGTGGAAAATTGCGAAAATTGGAAGAGTTCCGAAATGGTTTCGAGTAGCACCCATCCAATGCAAGGAGGCGATAATATGGTGGTGAATGATCTCCAAACGTCACTGTCTTCTTTTTATGAAGAAAATCAGTACCTACAAATGATTCAGTAACCTTTATTTTATATTGACAATAATTATGCTTCAAACTGTTAATGGTTGTAAAAATCTCGTGGAGACTGACTAATTTTAAAATTTATTCTAAATTTAAGTCCTTTGAAAAAACTTTAAAAGTAAAGTACATTTACTTAAATACATAAAAGACAAGCAAAAAATTATTGAAATATTAATGTATATATTATATTTGTCTTCCACTGTTGTACAATAAGTACATTAAATAGGAGTTTTGCATTTAAAAATAAATTTTAATGTAACAATTTTCAATGTATATACAATTGTAAATGTTATGATTATACTTTGAAGAATTTAAACAGTGCCTCTTTAAATATTTTTAAATGTTAGCTGTAGATTTTTTATTTCTATAAATATACATTTAATTGTAAGTCACATTTGAGATTATTAGTGAGTAAGTTCAATAGTAATTTTGTACAAACAAACATTTTTTTAGCATTTTTACAGTGTTGTTAAAAATTTTAGGATTGTAAACGTTGAACTAGATTATGTTAACAATATATACATTAGTGTAATATAATTAAAGCAATATAACTGTTCATTTAATTGAAAGTTTTGAAGACAATGAATCTCTTAGTTTAAATTTAAATGATGAGATTATTAGCAGTTAAGTAATTGTTAATTATTTTTTATTTAAATGCAAATATTGATTAACGCACAAAGTAATAGATAATGGAAGGAGAAATTGTATTTTGTAATAAATTATTGTTTTTTGTAAAAGAATGAATGTGAACATCTGTGACAATATTTTTAATGAAATCATGAAATAAATCATATTACCTATGTCCTTTAATTTCATTTAAGTGTTCCTATTTTCAATAAAATTATGGTGGTTTATTTTTGCAAAAGCGGTATTCGAACCGAATTCGAACTCTAAGACTCCTCCTATAGTCGAGACAAGTAATCGCTTGAGAATTTGTCACACATAACTCAAGCACATATTTTTAACTAAATAAACAAGAAATTAAAAGAAGTAAGAATTGTGAATCATTGATAATACTATTAATATTAGATATAGTTTTATGTTTCATTCAAAGTCTTGTCTATTAGTTATAGATATTTGCTTATGTTATAACATTTTCTCATGTTTCAATTACTTCCCTTGACTATAGATACGACCCACTCACACGGCACGGCTCCAATCTCGCAATGAATTTGTCATTTATTTTCATTTAATCGTACGATCATATCTATACTAAAATTATAGAGAAGAAAGCTTTGATTGTTACTATTAATATGGAATGGATGTAATGTGACGATGAAGCCGCAAGTTAGGTATTTCACAAGGACTTTGGTATGAAATAATATCCAAGGTCATAAGATAGAACTAAAAGATGTCTTTGAGGGCTTTGTAACTAAAGAACGTAATCCCGTCGAGTTTGTCCAAAAAAGCATTATTTTGTTATTATGAATTGTATTAATAAATTTTCTATAAAATCCATCCAATCCTCTTCACGCCATATCTAGTGGGGAAGGCAGAGAGGACCGAATACCACAATGTACGGTCCTTGCATACATCTTTCGCCTCATTCACTTTAATTACTCTTTTTTATACATACTCGCCGGTTTCTATAGTAGATGGCACGCGATTGATTTGATCGTATGTCGTAGCCGTCCTCGGCTTCTACATCCTTCCAATTTCGTAATTTAAGATACTTTATGCTTCTATTTATATTAGGTATTTAAACTTACACTCGATAAAAATAATATATTTTTTGCGCTAGTAAAAAGTCTCAATACCATTTGTACAACCAGACAATAATAAACAGCTCCGGACGCAAGAAAGTCATGTTATTTTCATAGCATACCCACAAATTAATGTCGACAAAAACAATCGTTGTTTAATCTTCTAATAAAACACAGTGGAAGACAAGCGGCTGAGAAAATAATGTGAAGATAACACAGAAATAAGAAAACGTAGGCACCTGAAGGTTATCCTGGCGTTTACGACTGTAAAAATAATGTTGTTTTTTTATGATACAAAATAACTTATATTAAGAGTTTGATAGCGCAATAGTTAGCTGGTGCGGTCTGCAATGTGGAAGCTAAGCAGCTTTTCTTAAAGGCCGGTTATTGGGCGGATGACCGAAAATTTATTATCTCGAACTCCTTACGTTGCTCCCGGCTACATTTGCAAGTCGTTAATACCCTCCAATCCGCATTAGGCCAACGCAGTGAGTCAAGGCCTGAGCCCCTGCAGTGAGAATGTAAAAGGGCTGATGATGATGATGAAACAAAGAAGATAACGTTACACCCAGATCTGAGACAAATATTATAGATTATTTTTTATATTGATCAGAATATAGTATATTTTTTATAATAGCATTTAAATACAAAAGGCGGACTAATGCCAAAGGCATTCTCTACCAGTCAATCACAAAGAAACTGGAGATTGAGTAATATTTTAATGAAAAATGCTTAAAAATTCACCAGCTGCCCCGAGATGAGATTCGAACTCACGACCTTTCGCTATCCAGACGACTTATTTCTGTGTTATTTTTTCTCAGATGCTTGTCTTCCTCTATGTTTTAGGAAATGAAACTACAAAACAATAATAATATTTATCGGCATAGCATTGAGAATTATAGGACTAGCATTGCAAAATTTATCAAATATTTGTATAAAAATATTAATTAGATCTTGATTTTGAGGCGATATGTATAATAGTAGTAGTCACTTAAAATGATATCATCTAAATATGAAAATCATTTGACCACACATAACCCATCATGCGGTCCCGGTGCGGATTGGTGAACTTCATGTGCCTTGCTCGAAGCTCGAGATAATGAATTATTGGCACTCATCCTTTGACAGTTCCTTATAAAAGATGCTTAACTTCTGCACCACAGATGAAGGGCGCTTTCTACTGCGCCAACAATCTATGATTTTCAGGGTCTCGGCCCATTCTCCTCTTTGGATTCCATCTACAGGAAAAGCCTGCGTGCAGTGACAACATTATTAGGTCAGCGATGATGATGAAGACCATAGGACAGAATACCGTTCTCTAGTTTTCACTCAGTGAAACTAGACTACGCCAATTTATTGACGCGACGCCCGTCGCTCTGGTAACGTATTCAGAAATAATGCGTCTATTTTGGTTGAGCGTTGTGACGTAACTGGGCAAAATTTACACCACAGCCATCTCTATTTCTGTAACCGTTATGGATTTAAGAGCGGCTATTGATATCTGCACGAGCCTTGTGGATTTTCGCAAGGGACAGTGCTAGTTAAAATTTCGAGTTGAAAATAAAACCCTTATAAATATTATAAAAGTAACTTTGTATATTAGTCTGTTACGCCTTCACGTTTTAACTGGTTTCATTGTAAATAGCTACACCACGCGAACTAAGTCATGGGCAAAAGCTATTTTAAAGTTACTTTTAAAGACAGTCGTTTTCAAAATTTATTCTTGTTCCTAGGATGTTTAAGAAATTCTCTTCTGCATCTAAGTATACTGTAAAACAAAGCTGTTTTCCGCTGTCTGTACGTTTATATCTTATAAATTACACAAAGTATTTTAATGCGGTTTTCATCTAAATACAGAGCGATTCAAGAGAAAGGTTAAATCTAATTAATTCTGATTACAAAAGCTTTGTACTTATTTTCGTATGGCCAGTATGTGATTTGTGGATGAATAATTCATCATGGTCTAGGCTTTATGGGGCATAAATAATGCCCCATAAAGCCTGGACTTTGATTAAAACGAGTTAATAGCTGTTTAATATGCAGCCAACTCTAAATGTATAAAGACCGTACAAAGAACGAAAGTTTTGATCTTCATCATCATCACCAGCTCTTTTACGTCCCCACTGTGGGGCTCAGGCCTTCCTTATGGATGGTTAAGGAGGATGGGCCATGACCCTCCACGCTGGCCCAATGTGGATTTGGGGGTATTAACGACTGCAAATGCAGCCGGGACCAACGACTTAACGTGCCTCTCGAAGCACGGAGTAGCTCGAGATAATAATTTTTTGGTCACCCAGTTTTTTTTTATCTGATTCAGTTTTGATATTATTTCTTTACAAATTTCGTATAATTTCGGCAATCAGAGACCCAAACCATTTTCCCGATTTAATCCTTCTTAGAATAAGCACAACTATACTATTTAAAGTCAGCTATTAATTATGCACTTCCTGAGAGTAAGGCCTTGCCAACAGTCGCCTCTGTCATTTTTGTGATTTACTAAATACAATCTGTACATGTTTTCATTGAAACTGGGATATTTTTAAACTGTTTATAGTCCTCAGGTTACACATTTCTTTAGTATTTAATGTAATTCCGAATTTAAGCAGACTTTTAAATTAAAAATTTGATAGACAACAAAAGTTTCTACTTTTAATTTCACTATTTTCATATTCTTTGTTTTGCAGTGATTTCAACGAAGATGCCTTTGAACAACCTGAAAACAAATTATTGAATGAAACTACAGTAAATTTTTCAAAAGATATACACTATTTACTTTTTACTCTTGTTTTAAATTGTCATTTACAATAAGCACTTTAATGTCTTGACGAAAACTGTGTTCAACCAACCAGGACAGCTATAGGCACTAAAATTCCGACAACAACTGCGGCCAACGATGCAATTTTGTACTTATGCCTTCTAGCATTTACATTCATGTACGCTTCAAATCTATGAAAGCCTTTCACGTCATAATTCAATCTTTGATACTGTCTCAATTGATTAACAAAACCTGGATTCGGGTTGATAAATCTTCTTCTTTGTCTGACGTAACCGAATGCCTGTTCGAAGCTCAGTTTGTACTTTCCCATCAAATATGCGATAACAATGGTGGCAGACCTAGAGACGCCGAAGTGACAGTGGACAAGAACGTTTCCCTTCTGTAATCCTTCATCAATAAAGGCATTGGCCATTGGGAAGTAGGACAGGAGATTGGTCTGAGGAGTGTCGTCGGCCCTAATGAAGAGGGTACTGATGTTTGTATTAGCAAAAGTGGATTTTGGAAGCCGATGCGCCTCAATGGTGAGTACATGGGTGATATTAAGTTGCCGAAGCACGGTTGGGTCTGCTGCTGCTCTGGCATTGCTTAAATAAAGTCCTGGTATGATCTGACTGTAACAGGACTGTGTGCAGAGGTCCACTTTATGGTAGAGCGCTTTTCTAGACCAGTTTTTAAAGCCTGTGAACGCCACTACTGGGTTTGGAATGCTAAGAAAAGCGACAATTAAAGCGCTTTTAAACATCACCATAAATAAACCTCTGACACTGATCATAGTATGTAGTGTTGTATCCTCACATTTTGGTTATATATATATTTTTTGTTATTTTGTTCCACTTTTGCTTAAAATTGTTATGAAGCCAAAATTTTGACAACAGCTGTTAGACATGACAGTCTAACGCTTAGTTTTAATCTTTCTCGTCTTCTTTCGTAATGATTCAAATAAGGTTATATTTCTTTACTCAATCTTAATGTCACACCAAATGATATTAAACAAATCTCTAAATAACATTTTACATTTTCTTTACTACGTGTAATACAAGAGCTTGTGACAAAAATGTGCAAGTTTTATAAAAAAGGTTTATAGTTCAGTATTAAGAGTACAAAAGGTAAAACATCACTGAGAACCCAGTATAGATTTTGGTAGTGGATCACATGGATTACACGTGCCTTACGTAATATGCTAAAATGCATCGATAGATTTCCTGGTGTTTTAAATTAATTATTAATAAAAAATACTCACACCCACATTTAATGGAACCAACGCAATGAGAAATCGATAGAAGTTTTATTAGCGTCGCCGCATCCTGAACCTTTTTTTTATAACGCAGATGAAATGCACCTTAAGCCTTAAACCAGGGCTCCCGAAGCGGGGTCGGTCTAACTGATAAAACTCGCTGCGTTGATAAAAATGAGGCCCCCTCTTGCGAGTTGGGAAAAGGCCAGGATATCTAACTGCCTTTTTTCAAACGGTGGACCGTCCCAGGGGGCGGGTGGAGTGACAATCCTGTCCACAGGTCTGCAGAAGGAGGGGATGCGCTAATACGCGATCCTCTCCCCCTTGCCGTCCTTGTATGTGGAGGGCACTGCTCGGGTTTTCCACCTGGTCCTCCTAGGGCTAACCCTATGGCTGTCCCCTCGGGCCAATACTATCCTGTCTGCGGCCTACAGAGCCCGTCTCCCTCCGGCGCCGTCAAAGAAGTTTTACATAAACGCAGCACCCCAAGAGGCAAGGGGCTCCGTGTTGTCTTCAGCGGCAGCACAGAGCACCCATCCGAGGATAAATGGAACCATGCAACTACCGACGTTGCGGGCCTTAACCCTGTCCACACACAGGTGCGCGCATGATCCGCGCACATTCAGGTACACTTTTCCATGCGCATCGGCACGTAACCAGAGTCGCGACTTCGACACCGACGGGGGACCCGCTCCACGTATGCAAATCCAGAATGCAATGAATTCCCTCCCCGCAACTATGGCCTCCTTGGTTGGCCGGGCCACCTCTTCCCCAAGTCCCGCTTCACAGCCAGGAGAATGGGTCCCGAGCCGGAAGGAGAGAGCCGTCGGGTCCCGTGAAAGGCAATCACGCGTTGCAAGCAACGCAGCTGCCACCCTCCGTTGGATCCGCTGGCTATCACGCTGAGCGGTGCTCCTCCCCAAAGCAAGGCGGGCCATTAGGAGAGGTAGGAGTGCTGCGCATAGTGCTCGCGTCTCCACATCCTCTGTCTGCGGAGACAGTTCGCCGGAGGCATCACCTCCAGTTCTCTCTCAGCGGCTCTCTTTTGTGCTTTAACATTATTACAGAAGGAAGGCCAGCGCTTGCCAGGATCTGTCTCTATCCAGCTTGGCCTTCACCCCGCTGGATAGTGAGATATCCTAACTCCCCATTGTCTCGACATATCGCTCGACGCTGCTCCTGGTCTGAGCACTACACCCATTGAGAATGTGTTGCGCTGTGTTTACAGCCGCGCTGCAATGACGGCAATGCGGGGTTTCTTCCCTACAGGTCCGGTGCAGGTACTGTCCGAAGCAACCATGCCCATACAGCACCTGCACCAATCAGAGCCACTGTTGGAATACAGGTAACCTTCACTTTTAGGACTAAGTGATGATGGTATTCCTGTCACCCAGTTAGTAAGGCAAGACAATATTAGATATTTCAATTTTTCTTTCATTATCTATGCTTCACCAATAAAGTTTTGATGAAGTGTCTAAACATGAACTTTCGACACTGATATGCTTATAAAAGCATCATCGTAACCTGATGACTTTCATCGTAAATTGACGTGGTAGTAATGTCATTCATTTGTTTTACTACAACGAAAAGTTTATGATTAAAAGAGTTTCTTACACATTCATGCGAAATAATTTTTTATTATTATTTCGAAATGCACGATTCGATGCCGATACATTGTGAGAATATTAACTTTGCCCTCACTTTATAATGTCTAAATACAAAAACTCGCTCCCTGGACCTCATTCATCAAGATTGAATCACTTTTGACGAACCGTCTTATATGTGATTTAATGAGTGCCAGTGACCAAAATGTGCAAGAGTTAACTTGTACATTTTAGTCATTAGCTCTCAGACTAGTAATAGAGATCATGCATATGGTGCTTCGTGCTATGTATCTTAGCAAATGTAATTGGGAGATTAGGCTTTTTCCACGCGGGCTCAGTACTGAGGGGCCCAGTGCGGTGGGTATTAACGTTTGTAGATGCAGCCGGGACCAACAACTTGACATGACTTTTGGTCACCCATCCTATGACGCACTAACCACTGCGAAACCTTAACTTTTATTTAAGTATCATACGATACTAATAATATCTCACACTCGTTTTACTACTAGCGTTTTTATTATTAAACAGACTTTTCAACGCCAAAGCAGCTTTGGACGAGCCAACATTCTTACTGACCATGAATATATAGAGTGGAACTATTTTTTGACACTGAAAAGGTGCGAGTGTATTATGAAACTCGTCAGCTGTCCCACCTGGGAGATATTTCGTGGGGTTTCAGCGGTCGTTATTGTTCGGTGACCCAGATTGTATTTAGGTCTTGTGTCCGACATTGAATGTTACCGTCAACGCAATTAGACTTGATGAAGTGTTGCCACTTTCAAATATTTTATTCTTTTTAATAAGACAAGCTTATATAAAAAGTTGCGCTGACACAGCATAGAGCTTCAACGAAATAAAAACTTTATTAAATCTTGAAGTAGGTTATATACGTTTAAATCTCTGTGTTGTGACAACAGAATAGCATTGCTCAATATCTCAGAGGTTATCATCATATATCATGAATTGTAGGAGTATAAAGCTCAAATTATCCTATGTTAGCTTAATTATAATGAGTCGATCACGCTTTAAGATAGTTCTTGTTACTTCATCACAAAATAACAAACATATCTGTCATCATTGATTTATAAAGAAGATATTCAGGTAGGTAGTACAATCGGAAACTCCTATTTAATTGAGACTACATTAAGATGCCAATATTACCACGACATAAACTTAAAATGCTTTCCAATACAAAAAAAAACCTTTATCAGAATCTGATGATTTGGATTTGCGATATTCAATTAATATAAGAACCACTAATTAACCCTGAGATTTGTAGATGCATAATAAAGTGCAAAATTTATATCATAGTTTTAAGAAGCTATCTTTAAATCAAGTTTATGACAGAGGCATAACGAGCTCAACTACAACACGTGTTTATAATAGTACAGACGTTGATGAACGTTCAGTACTTAAAATAAAAATAATTATCGTTCTGTGGAACATTTGTAATCTATGGGTTTCTCGAATACAAAGATTTATTTAGGTAAGTTAGCTAAGCCTTAGTTGTATTTTAAAGATTTTGTGAGTTTGAAAATTATTTGGTTTTTTATTTTTTTATTTAATTTTTCAACGACGTCATCGATAAAAATACTTGAATCTAATAGGCCCATTGTTTTAAAGATCTGTAAGTAACAATAATAAAAAAAATAGAAATCTGGCAAAGTGTATTTTACTAACCATAACTAAGGACAACCGAAATAAAACGATTTTCCTACGATTATTGAAAAATTATTGAAAAGCATGTGAAGCGTATCCGCGTATGATGTAACTTCATTACATTATAATATGCGGATACGCCTTAGGCGAAATAACTTTTAAAATTGGTCCAGGAGCCTATTATTGAATAGGCAAATATATTTTTTCTTTATAACGGAGATTGTGCATAAATTTCTCGGCTATAAAGTGACTCACATAAATATATATCGATGTTCCTTATAAAAATATATTACAACAAAATGGAAGAAATAGTTAATTTTAATGGAAATCGATCACAATTATCATCACAGGATTTGTTAAAAAAACATTAATAAATAAAAAAATATATTGTTATCACGTTTGGATGTGACATAACCCATAAAATTTGATGGAGTTTTCTCATGTATAGCTTAAATAAGCTTACAGCTTATTTATATTATTTATTTTCAATAATACGAGTAATAATTTATAATCCTGTAAATATCCCAAATGAGGGAACCAAGTCGACTCTATGGATAGAATAGAAACGAGAATGAGCCATGACACAGGCACAGTTCGTATTAATGATGGGTGTTAACCAGTCCTTCCAAATGGTGCTTAACTTCCGCATCGCAGGCGGAAGACATTAGTCACTACGTCATCGAGTTCTGATATTTTTAAATAATAACCTTTTTTAAATAGCTTTAGTTATAATATTTTATTTCTTCATTTTATCTTTGATAACGAACTTTCATTATAATTGTCGATGACAACGGCGAGCAGGTGTAGGTACTCAGTAAATTATAAATAAAGAACCTTGACAAGTCAACTTGTTTCTTTTAAATATATAAAATAATTTGTATTTGAAAAACAAATTATAGTAGACTTCTGATGTCATGCGTGGAAAAATGTTTATATATATAAGTTTACGTTTTCATTACAAATCATTCAAAATTAATATTTATTTTTTAAAACAAACTTTATTTTACATTATCTTGGCCCATAGATATATACAGACAAACAAACGAAGCCAAATTCGAAATGGTTGCGTGATTATATTTGATCAGTTTCGCATCCCGAGATGGATATCGAACCAACAACCTTTTACGGTGCCGGCGACTGAATCGGAAAGGGGTAGGTTATATGTTCGATGGCGACATTTGTTTCTTTTTTATGTGTATTCAGCGATTTTTTCGTCAATTCGTCAATTATTTTTTTATTCGACAGCTTAAGAGACCGCGATATTCTCATTTAAAT